AATAAAAGCGAAAATAATACAATTGTTATTTCGAGAAATAAATTATGTGACGGATTGGATGATTTAACGCGAGGGAAATGTATGGACTGCACATATGGTGGTGTTGGCACTCCAGCGAAACTTTAGCAGAAGAAAACAGCATCAAAGAAAAGAGTGAATGGAAACATGATGCTTAATCACAACACACATATGGTCGAGTATTTACGTTAATAGAGACGGGGATGGTTAAATATCGAGGTGTTAAACTCGGCGCTAAAAATACATTCCCATTTCTGACTAGCAGCTATCTTTAGGACAAGAGTAAAGCATTCCTCTTTTGCCGAGGATTCCTGCGGAATGCGTAGCTACGATTCTCCCCGCGATTCATTGCTGCGATAATGAATTCTTTCGAGTTGTTAGGAGAGCACGTTTAGGGGCAGATCGTCTTTTCGCGTTTCATTGCCGCGAAGAAAATTAGCTTCATTCAGACTGATATGATAAACGCATACACAGATGGAGAAAATTAACGTACATGTGTGCAGGAACGGTGCGTTCGATGAGGCGATAGCTTCTGAAGAGAATAAGAGAGTATACGTTCTATCTCTGTTTATATCTAGACGGATATAAGCCTAAATTATTGGTATTCTCTCATTCATTCGTCTCACGCGTGTACAACTCTTTTGACGTATGTACTCGAGCCCATGTATACGCATGCAAGAAGAATGCACCCTTCGTGCGGATGTCTGTCACGTGCGTGCTTATCACGTGCGAGGGCATTCGCACTTGTGCGTTTGCATCGACCTGATATGACGTTCTTGTTTAAAGTGTCGTATGTTTCACTCTGCAGAATCTGATAGCTTCATTGTCTTTAAAAAACGTATATTTAAAGTTTATTTCATATTTTTATGCACATACCCATATGAAACTTTGTTACAATTTCATTAAATCGATCTCGCCTTTGTAACTAAAAACTGAATATTCTTATCTTACAAGATCTCGCTAAACTTTTGCTCATTAAATTATTAAACGGCAAATCTATTGTGAAAATTTACAATATTTTGTCTAAACGCGCAGAATTACAATACAATGTGGTACCTTAAATCGCACTTTCAAATGAATCTTTCAATTTTCTCCCTCGCTGATATTTGCTTCTGTCGCACTTTTTTGGTTTTATCTAACTTTATAAAGGTCGTCAAGGGCTGCCGCATCCTTCTGCAGTGGCCTCTCTATTATTCGTTGGAGCACTCAATGCAGCGGAAAAATGTGGACGACGTATTAAGAAGCGAAAAGTAGTACGACAAGGTAGCTCAGGCTTCTTGAGAAAGTTCTGAATTAATGACGAAGTCAGGACCATGACTAGAGACAAATATATACAGACCTACAAATTCCAACAAATATATGTATTCTTATTTAAAATATGTTTTTCTCTACTGAAAGATAAGTTTTAATAATGTCCCCTTCCAAGTTTTCTCGACTTTATTATAAATACCCAAATTTAGCAATAACTTTTTACTCATTTGTTATTTTGTGCAGATTTTGTGTTATATAAAAAAGCAACATGTAATTATTCTATGAGAATAATATTCGTGTGAATTTGTTTTTGATGGTTTTGTTTGTCTAATAAATTTGATAAGATTTCGACAAGACAAAAAGTTATGTCTCCGGAAAGAAAATAGTTGCACTAAGTTCGAAGAGGATATTAGGACGATATTAAGACATCGAATTGGATTCTATTCTTTTATGTGGATCAGGTACACAACTTTCTTCACGAAGATTTGTGTGTAGTCAGCATTTTTGTCTTCTCCGCCGATCTCTTCTTTTAATATGGGTCAGCCTGATTATGCTGAGACATGAATGGTCGCATAAAAATAGGAAGAGCGATGCTTCACGTAGGCAAAGTGTTGCAGATAAAGGGGCGCAAAGAGTGTAAGAGCTCAATAAATATTTAAGAGTTCCTATTTCGTCGTTTTTTTCATGAGAGGGAAATTGTGGCGATACTCAAGGTAATATATTTCATATATAGATTAGTTTTATTGAATTTCAAAGGATAGATTTTTGAAAGACAGAACACAGTACTTTATTAGACATATATAAACGTTTGTTTCCACAATTTACAATTTTGCAGGTGCAAATTGAGAAATGTGCTTTTTTGGAATACTTTTTCCACTGGAAATGTTATTAGAAAATATAAATTAATAAATGCCAATAAATTTAGCGCAAAATTTTTATTTTAACAATGTATAATTGCAGATCACAAAAGTTAAGATTAATTTTCTTTTTCTTAACAACCAATCGACTTGCACTACTCGTCATTTCTTTCTATCTCTTCTCTTTCCTAGCTTTAAATTTATGAATTTTCGGGACATACTCGACGTAGCAATAAATAAATGGAATTAGTTCTTGGTTGAAGATAACTGGACTCCAGATTCACGTCCCCAATTAGAGCCCAATGTTTTTTACTTCTTTCTTCAAAACAAAGTTAATAAAACGGTAAAATTCATAAACATTTTAAACTTCGTTAGTAGATTTCACGAAGAGAATTAGAATGGAACATGGTGTAAACGAGTAAATCCAAGAAATTACTGCACTTATAATTTATTATGTTATTTAATGTATTTGAAAATTGAGGAAGATTTTAAAATTTATGGGAAAGTCCCTTTCATCAAATATCATGTGCACGGGAACATTTTGCAGCGACTTGATATTTATGCTAATTATTGTGGGCGGAATAATTTATACATGTAATAGCCTACGCATTATACTTGTTATCGAAATGTCAAAATGATGTAGTGCACACTGTGTTCCATAAGAATCGAGACATATCGGAGAAACAATTTTCTCGAATCCTGTTTCAATTCCTTGGGATTATAAATAATTGCCCATTACGTGGAGCGCATAAAACATACAAATGCTGTTAACGATAAGCTTCACGTGCCGCTGCGATGCCGCTCGTCGTATAGAAAGATTATATTACTTCTTACTTTATTCTTTTAACATGCTTGTTAACGCATTTATATGATTGCGTTACGTTGCGCCATTTTGAATGGATATCAGAATATTAGAATTTAACGTCATTAAAACAACGATTGGGACAGTAATTGTTTGTGAGTCTTGAAAATTTCAATGAATCATCGAAACGCCGCGAGCACGCCGAGGGTTCGTTTGTCGCACGTGAAATTCTTCTCCATGGCGGCACGTGCCATCGGTAAGATCGTGTAGTGGCTATTTTCGCCATTACGTTGCGCTATTTCCATCGTCGCGCTCCGAGGGTACACGGACTTCAAAATTGATGTTTGTCCTCGTCGCATCGGCTTTCCATTGACGTCCCAAAATAAATCGCCAATCGACATAACCCCCGCCAGATATATCGACTGGATGCATCCTCGCTTCTAAATCGGGTGGCTCGTAAAGTAACGCCAACTGGCTGTGGGCGAGACTTAACATCTTACACAAGTGGGCTATTCGACGATCAATCCCCAAAACGCTAATCCGAAACTATTCCGGTGGTTTCAACTGGATCAAGTTCTTCCGCTGAAATTTCTTCGTATCGAAACTACATTTTACAAACTGGGTAAACAAGTGGAAAACAATCTCGATCCCGCAGTAAAGAGTTTATGGGTCGTATTGTTGCCCCACAGTTCAATTTCAATTCTTCGTCTCCTCAGTTTTCCCTCATGATGTTAAAACTTGACTAATATTTTATTAATTTAATATTACGTTTTTTGCTTATCAAACAAATGTATAATATTTTTTCAATATTACCGTAACACGCTTTAGATTCAGGCCCAATTTTAGGAGCAATAAATTACCTTCGACATATTGCGATTAAAATTCGTTTATCCGTACTGCTTCTCCGTTGCGAAATTACTACAGGAGTGTTTTATCTAGAATAATCTATATGAGTTGTACGAGATGAAAGTTTCTTTACGAAGATGGTCAATCGAGGTGATTTTTGGAGCTCTTTATTCATCTAAGCATCCACGCGTGTCTGATTACACGCGATTATGTACTGTTCCGTTCGTTCGCGTGAATTACTGAGATTCAAGGGTAAATTTCTATTTATGTATTTAAAAGCTAAAAACGAATAGAGAGGGAGAGGCCGATTTAACTCAACGTGTGTTATTTTGCTTCTGCGGCACACCATTGTTCTCAAAGTCACTTGATATTTTTGAAAATGTCCCACTGTTTTAATCGCTCGATAGCTAATTATGCGCTTGGCAATCTTTACCGACGTAAATTCCCGATTGTCGCCCCGACGTTCATCCAAATCGCGGTATTTCCGATCTGTTTGACTATCGTCAGAACCGACGCGCACTCATCGATTGCTTGACACACTTTCAACACCAGTGTACACGCCAATTCCAGTAGAGATTGCTAATAAGTAGACGCGTTAACACATAGAATATATATATATATTATAGTTTATAGATGTGCATCGTGTGTGTTTCTATTTTTATTGAGCCATTAGAATATCAAGTCTAGCAGCCTAGTAGACACGTACACCACGCGTTCATCTAATAGTCTATTAATAAGACAGGCCGCGGACCACTTTCTGGTAAACCGAAAGTGTACTTGCCGAATATAGTGCGGATGTGTCACTTTATATTTACGATAAAACGGTGTTAGGATCCGGCAGAAAGTTCAAACGGTATATCAACAGAATTTCCACAACTTTCACTTAATCTGCAATTTACAATTTTTATCTATAATTTTAATTTCCAGCCTCTGTAAAAAATTACTTTAGTCCAAATGAAGTTTCGTGCCACATTAGCGACGGTTCTGGAATGGTTCTGTTATGCGCTACACGAATTTTATTAGACTATTTTGCTAGATCGACGTGTGAACCTTTTTCTAGCGTAATCCTAGCGTAATGTAGTAATTTCTATGAGAGAATCTTCCTCTGATCTGTAAGGCTATACGTCATGTATATGTCAGGTATATTCTGAAATAACAGCGCAAAATAACTTCTCGAACGTGCTGTCAGAGAGTTATTAATGACGCTATGACTATGATTATTATAGATCGCTGCCGAAACTCAGCAGCCAGGACGAGGATGGGACGAACCCCCACACCCAATACACAGGCGTCACACACTTCGAACCCATACCGCACGATCATGACTTCTGCGAAAGGGTCGTCATCAACGTGAGTGAGAATTTTTATATTTAATCGACTCTTCTAGACGAGCAGTCGCGGAAAGACCTTTCCACTTGACACGTCGCAGCGTTTCATCGTTTCGAAAAAAAAAATAGTCCTTATATTCAAATACTTTTGTTTTGTGTCAGGTTAAAGAATTCTTAAGAGACACGTTAAAAACTTTTGGCTCTTTATAACCTTTGGCGCCACCGATTCTTGGAATGAAAAATGTCCGGCGCCAAGTGCCAAAAAAGTTTCGTCTTTACGGAGCCTTGGCACCACGGATCTTTAATCTCGCGAATTCTTGGTGCCGTAAATCCTAGATTCGAACGATTCCCAAGGCAAAGGTAGTAAAATATACTACCGCTCTCTCATACGTAAATATAATTTCATTTTTAATATTGTTTTTCTACCTGTTTTTTTCCCTCGTCGTGTTTCTGTAACAAGTTTCTTTTATCACTACGAATTACCGCGTATTTTCATTACGTGGGTAATTCCGGTCTGGTTCGACATTCACACGCTTTTCTTCCTCTTCTTCTTTTTTTTTGACGAAGTGAGATTATCTCAAGACATGAAGTGACCTACAGACTGCGTTTTGGCGGTCATCCAAGTTCGTCTTGGAATCGGAGGCGATATAGCACCAAGGTTATATTGTGTGAACGGAATTATCTGTCCTCGCGGATGACACGACTGCATTGCGCCAATTACAACAATCGATTCAATCGATGCATTTCACTAATTTTTTTCCCCTCCTTTTTCCTTCTCGCCTCACGACGGGCACGTGAACTCGGCGGAGGTCAAAGCACGCCACATGACGTGGGTGAAGCGTGTGGGTGTGAGAATCGGCGTTCAACGTGCACTAATATAACATACGCTTTCCTTCCAGTCTCAATTAGACGCAGAGATATAATTAATTGCGCTAAAAATTTATATTAAATATTCAAAAACGTTAAAATCTAATTAAATGTCATCTGAATAATTTTTTTTCATAGTGATAAAAGTGCTTTTGATCTCTTTTCGAAAGCACGTTGCTCCTTTATGACGAATGGGCCATGCAATGGGTATCTTTCCTACTCGTTGAACCTTGAGCGTAGTTTTATTCACGAAATACAGGTTCGTACAGAGCGGAAATATCTCGTTGCTGTATCTACATTTTGCTGCCTTTACTTTTTTCTTTGCGTTTTCTTTCACTTTCTCTCTTTATTTTCCTTCTCAAGCGTGTATTTCAAGAAAAATGACTTAATCGACTCGTTATTATTGCAAAATTTCCGAAATTTTTTATCTACAATATTTCTCATTAAGTAATTCATTGAAAATCACAACATTTTGTGCTAAAAAATTGATTCTCTTGAAATATGAAGAGAAATGAAAAATGTAAAGAGAAATTAATTCTGTTGTTTGTCTTCAAATTATTACTAACATAAGTCGATTACTTAAACACAGTTCTACATTCTTTCATTTTTATCTTACAATTTATTGTTTAAATCTTTTTCTTCTCACAGTATCACGATTTCACAATGTATTATAAGTAATAGGGTTGTTGATTCAACGTATCGCTTAAAAGTAAAAATATCTTTTCAATTACAAATTTTTAGCTCCATACATTCTACGTAGCAAATATTTCATTCTATAGTTTTTCAATATTATGGCCCTATTGTATAAAACCCTCGCGATAAATTCCTTATTCACTAATATTATTAATTTTCAATTTGGTCGTAGATACATTGACAAAAGGTCTTTTAAACATTATATATATATATATATTTTTAAAAAAAATTATATATTCATATATACTTTGAAAAGCCTTAAAGTATAATCGAACTACTGAACATAAGTTAACAACGTTGGGTGGGTGGTCCATTCACGATCGATGTGACAATTCCTGATAATACGTTAGTCTCTTTGTGAAACGAGCAACCCCTGACAATCATCCCCGTTCCAATTAATCGCTTGAACGGTGCGCCCCGCCCAGCGTGGCGCCACCGTACCAATAATCGATTATTGCAATCGACAGGTGAGCGGGCTACGGTTTGAAACACAGCTGCGTACGCTGAACCAATTTCCGGACACGCTGCTCGGCGATCCGACACGGCGGCTCCGATACTTCGATCCACTGCGCAACGAATACTTTTTCGATCGGAATCGACCTTCCTTCGATGCCATACTCTACTACTATCAGAGCGGTGGCCGCCTACGCCGCCCGGTCAACGTTCCGCTCGATGTCTTCTCCGAGGAAATCAAGTTCTACGAGCTGGGCGAGATGGCTACCAACAAGTTCAGGTACGAGCGCAGCTGTTTGGTTCACAGTGTTTTCGCGCGCGTAAACCCAATTATCGCAATCAAAGTTGCTGTACAGTGTAAACGTCAGATTCCTTGATTCTATAAGTCTTTGAATCCACAGATCTCTTCGTTTCTTGACATCAAATCTCTTTATAACCATTGTTTTCTCGAAACGCATTGCAACCAGCCTCTTGCTTTGATACATAGATTTGTTTTGTCAATTTGACATGGATTTGCTCCTCACTGTTGAGATTTTGCTGATCTGGACATAGACTTGTGACACATGTCAGTTCTTTTAGAAATCGTATAGTTGTCCCCGCAAGGCTATTCTCAAAAAGAACTTGTGTGAACATTGTGTATCATCGCAAAGGAGATCATAGTCTATAGAAAACTGAAAAAGAAAGTAGCCGGTATAGTGGAATAATAAAGCAACAATCGATGAAATAGGGAGGACGAGGGCTTCATTAAAGAGGAGGAGAAGCCGCTGCCGTCGCACGAGTTTCAGAGGAAGGTCTGGCTCTTGTTCGAATATCCGGAAAGCTCGCAGGGTGCCCGAGTGGTCGCCATAATTTCCGTCTTCGTGATCCTCCTGTCGATCGTGATCTTCTGTTTGGAGACACTACCCGAATTCAAGCACTACAAGGTCTTCAACACGACGACAAATGGCACGAAAATCGAGGAGGACGAAGTGCCGGACATCACGGACCCGTTCTTCCTAATAGAGACTATCTGTATCATCTGGTTCACGTTCGAGTTAACAGTGCGCTTCCTCGCCTGCCCAAATAAATTCAACTTCTTCCGTGACGTAATGAACATCATCGACATCATCGCGATCATTCCATATTTCATCACCCTCGCCACGGTAGTGGCCGAGGAGGAGGACACGCTGAATTTACCCAAGGCGCCGGTAAGCCCGCAGGACAAAAGTACGAACCAGGCGATGTCCTTGGCGATACTCAGGGTGATCAGGCTGGTCCGAGTGTTTCGGATATTCAAGTTATCCAGGCACAGTAAAGGCCTCCAGATCCTCGGGCGAACCCTCAAGGCCTCCATGAGGGAACTCGGGTTGCTCATCTTTTTCCTTTTCATTGGTGAGTATGATAATGTTCTTCGAGTGATTAGCAATAAGGCAAGAATTAAAGATTTGTTGCAAAAGCTACATATGATATTAGACAGGTGTACCTTTAATATTTGCAGATATATTAAAGCAATATACATGAGTAATCCTCTCATTATTTGCATTATATTATAACTCACTGAAAATATCTATTAGAGAATGTTATCGTACATAATTTTAATTAAAATTGTACTCAAATTGTATTGCTTGTTTACAAGATTTATAATTAGTCTAAAAAGACGAATTAAATTAAGCAAGAAAATTTTAGGAAAAGAAAGACAGAACAAGGGTTGAGGGGATGCTGGGGTGATTCTGCACTTTTAGCACCTTTTGTTCCTAGAACTGTCGATTCGTGAAAACATTTGTGTAATGTACAAATTATGTGGCTTTTGTGTACAGACCGACAGTGCCCCACTATTCAGATTAAGTCAAAGAACATCCGTATGGCACAAAAATATTGCAGCAACATTGCAGAAATATTTCTTTGTAAGATTGCAACATTGCTGCAGGATTGCGGCAACAGTAAAATGTCCGCTTGCAGAAATATTACAAAGTAATATTTGTCCATGTATAATAATACACATAAAAGTGAGATGATTAAACAATATGCATATACACAAACATAATTATATCAATATTTTAAAATAATATTGCTACAACATTACTAAAGTAATATTATAAAATACTATCTCTGCAATATCTGTACATTACATTGCAATATGCAAGATTTTAATGTTGCTGCAATGTTGCTGCACGTTCTTGTGCCGTATCCCAGGCAGAACATCATGTCGATTCGACGTCCAACAGACGTATGTTAGACATCTATTAGACATCCCCGACATCTATTAGACATCTAATCGACATCAACGTTCTGGCTGGGATGGCAGCATCGTATCATTGAAATTAAGTTTAGAAGCCTAACAAAAAATCTACTCACTCGAATAAGTTATAGGTTAGGTAATCTATAACTTATTCGAGTAAATAAACTTCTTGTTAGGCTCCTAAACTTAATTTCAATGATACCATGCTGTTCTTTCACTTAATCTGAATAGTGGGACACTGTCGGTCTGTACACAAAAGCCACATAATTTGTACATTACACAAATGTTTGCACGAATTGACAGTTCTAGGAGCAAAAAGTGCCAAAAGTGCAGAATCACTCCAGCATCCCCTTAAGGAAGAAGAAAGAGAAGAAGGAAAAGGGGGCGGAAGAGAGAGAATATTAAATAATAAAATTGTATTTTGTGAAAATAGAGAAGTGATTAAGCTCTCGGAATTCCAGCTTTGAAACCTTTAGTTCTTTGTCATTGTGCCTGTATAAATAGTTCATCGAAAGGAACGAGTCATAAGGGTTTATAGCGTCATTCGTTTATCGAATATAATCAGAAATTGTCGAAAGTCAAAATCTTCGTTGACATCCGCGACACAATGACTCACAAAAGGGGACAACTTAAAAGCACGCAAATGTGGGATAGAAGGCAAGAATTTCGAATATGGTAGCTTTGAGCTATTATATCTTTACCATTGTTGTATTGAAATGTTCTGTTGGAAATTAAATTGTTAGAACAGAATCAAATTTCTACACACACCCGTTATAATGACCGCTACGTTGCGCTATCTCATAATTTCGTATTTTATGTTTTGGACTGATTGTGAGTATGTCTAATTATTAATTTATTAGTGAAAAGGGTCGCTTTCGCAGACCGAGACGTACAATTATATTTTGATATTATGTGGTTTCTAAGATTAAAAATCTGTTGACACCAATATTATATATTGTATAATTTTTCACCACTTTCAACTGTGTGACGGCTCATATTACCTAAACGTTTTCTAACATTGTTTTCTACAATTCAAATTTTTACGAATTTTGCGACGCTGTAACCGTGACATTATTTTTCAGTTTTTTAATTAATTTCTTCGCAATTAATTAGTATCAATATATGTTGTATCAACATATTTGGTAATAAGATTGTATCATTCAACATCCGTAAATTGATTTATAATAAATGAGAGTCGAGAGATATTACACAACAGAGTAAAAAATATTTTCAGATATCCTGATGAAATCTAATTACTTTTGACAGCTTTCCAAATTTTATCTAATACAGATACAGCCACTAAAATATTACTGCTAACATATTAGTCTATAAATAAGATTTTACAAATGTACAAATTCGTCTTTCACATTTAGCGGTGTTAGCTCTTTCTAAGAATAAAGTCCCATAAGACTAACAATTAGTAAGTGGCTTTAGTCTTACATGAAAACGTTTCTATTATTATACATGTATGCCAAATTCCAACATACACTAAGATTATACGAAACATCTAAAAATGTTTTCTTTACCATTGGACGAGCTGCAAATTCTCGTCAAGGAAATCACTTGACGCAGTTTCAACTGCAAGGTGAATCAGATCGGAAATTAATTGAAAGGGAATCAGATGATTCTAGTTTTAGAACGTGGACATTCCCCTCAGGTCCAAGTGTTCCAGGTGTGATCACGAAATCATCCAGATTGGATGATTGTAGTAACTGAGTCATATGTTTACAACGTATACCATGTGGACAGTCCAGGTGCGATCAGCCGATTATCTGGATTATAAATAATTCTGTTTAATCCTGGGATAAGCGTATACACACATGGACGATTCCAGGTGCGATTGGGAAGACGAACGGATCGGACGATCACAGTAGTCGCGGACGATCCTCGCGTCCGCGAAATCCGACCGATGTATACATGTGGGCGATGACGTATACCGTCCTTACCCGTGCCTTCCTCTTGTGTGCGTTGCAGGTGTGGTGCTGTTTTCGTCGGCAGTCTACTTCGCGGAGGCCGGCTTGCAGGGCAGCTTCTTCAAATCGATACCGGAAGCGTTCTGGTGGGCGGTGGTCACAATGACGACCGTGGGATACGGCGACATGAGGTACAGATTCACCGGGGGCGTTAAACCCACTGAACCGGTGTTTTCTTCCTTGCATTGCAGGTGTGGTGCTATTCTCGTCGGCGGTATACTTCGCGGAGGCCGGCTCCGAGAATTCGTTCTTCAAGTCCATTCCGGACGCGTTCTGGTGGGCCGTTGTCACGATGACGACCGTGGGCTATGGTGACATGACGTATGATGTACTCACTTTCATTTAAGACTTTAGTTAATGCCCGCAAAATAACGATAACCAGGTTGTCAAAAGAGGGAGAGAGGGAGAGAGAGTGAGAGTGAGAGTGAGAGTGAGTGAGAGAGAGAGAGAGAGAGAAAAAGAGAGAGAGTGTGTGAGGAGAAAAAAAGAGGAGAGAAAGAGGGAGGAAAGAGTGGGAAGGGAAAGGAAGGGATTGTGGAAGGAAGAAGAGAAAGATAGGGAAAGAGAAAAAATTAGGAAAGACCAAATGAGGAAATAAGAGAAATATGATGAAGACCGAATGAAACGAAAAGAAGGGAGAAAAGAAGAGAAAGAAAAATAAAAGACAGAAACAGAATGGGAGGACAAGAAAGAAGGCAAATAGAAAGGAAAAAAGAGAAAACTGAAGGAGAGGAGAGTAGAGGATGAAAGGGGGAAGGGTAGAAAAAGGAGAGAAAAGGGGGGAGAGAGAGAGAGAGGAGAGAGGGAGAGAGAGAGAGAGAGAGAGAGAGAGGAG